CTATTATTAGGTAACTATTTTATGAAAAAAAAAATTAATTCTTTATTTCATAGATACAAAAGGCTAAGAAGAAATTTAAAAAGTAATGTTAATTTCTAGTAATGTTTTTAAAATGTTATTTAAAAAAATCTCTAAAATATTTTCATGCCTTCAGCCTATGTTTTTAGTAACGATATATCACAAATTTATCTGCATGTAGAAAACAGGTTAGTACTGTAATTCAAATACCTCAATCTACCAAGCTGCTACAGGGACATTCACAGCTAAATCTGTATTCTGAGAAATAAACAGGCATTTTCCCATAGTGTCTTCTATTTATTAATACATACAGTAACATTCAACAGTTAACAATTACACGATTACGTCAAAGCCTCAAACATTAGTTAATGTGTGCTGTCTTATCAACGGTAATAAAACATTTGTTGAAATTAAAATGCCACATCATTTTATAAAATCCTTATCTCCTGACTGAGCAATCTAAATATAACAAGTTCCTTTCCCAGAACTATTGCCTTCTGAATGGAAAGAAAAAGAGCCTGGGTAATGAACAGTTAAATATTCAACTGCTAGCTGAAGCCTGATGGTTAGAACCCACCTAGCAGTTCTGTGGAAAAAAGACCTGGTGACCTGCTTCCACAGATGACAACCTAGACAACACTGGGTCACGCTGAGTTGGAATGGACTCGACAATAACTACCACCAACAAATGTTAAATATTTATATATATAAAGAAATACATCATTTTACTATAAGAAAGACTTTAGCAAACTGTGAAAAAAGAATACAATCTCTGAAAACAGGAATATAAAATATATGTATCACAATAAAAACATGTTTCAAATTTGTTGTTGTTATGTGCTGTTGAGTCGGACCCAACTCATAGCGACCCCTCCTTGGGTTTCTGAGGCAGTATCACTATGGAAGTAGATTGCCCCCATCTTCCTTCCAAGGAGTGGCTGGTGGGTTTGAACCACCAGCCTTCTGGTAAGCAGTCAAGTGCCTTAGCCAC